GACCAACCTGAGCTCCAGAAATCCAAGGTGAACACACCCAGTTAACCCCACAGTCTGACAGCATTGAGCACTGCTGGCCCAAGGGTCCTCCTGCCTTTGGGTTACCCAGGCACACATCCCTCTTGCAAAAGAGCTGAAAGGCTTTGGGGTGAGGCAGAATAGGCCTCTTTACATCTGCTCCAGCACTCAGTAAGACCTCGTGGACATGGAATTTCTGGGCACATCCCAGAAGTAAATCAGGCCCAAGTGAAGCTCAGCGCGGCCAGCTCAGCCTGGGACACAGCTTGGTGCCTACAGCAGGCAGCCACACATCACTGAGGAATCTAACCTGACCATTGCATGTCAAAAGGCAAACTTCCCTCTTTCCTACCATTTTATTGATTAGAGCAGCCTGGAAGGAAGTGCTTTGAAAAAAATAGAACATGTTCTTCAGACTGTATGGTTCTGACTCCAGTGTGTAGCTGGTTGAAAGAATGACACTGGTTGAAACTGGAAGTCTTAAGGAAAGAAAAATCTCTTTTTAGTTCCCATTTCTCCCGTCCCGGCTTCTGCAGGAGGGAGCAAGTGAACTGCTCACGAATATTTAGTAAAGGACAAACCACGCCATATTTTTTCAGTGGCCCTATCGGTCACTGCTTACCCAGGGCTGTAGCTGTGAAGTGGGGAATCGTTGGAACGCAGAGATGCACGGTGACCTGTGTCCCCTGGGAACAGTGCTGGGGGCTGTCACTACGCTGGAGCATTCATGCAGACCTGAGCCCCTGCCATCCCATCCCCTGGGACCTGGCGCACACCAGAGCTAATTAACGACGAGCTTTATGACTGAATCATTCTCTAGTCCTTCATGTCAGTACTTCATTACGGATCAAAACAAGCAAATCCGTGGAATAAAAAGGCAACAGGCTGTGAAGATGAGAAAAAAATGATGCCTTATCCATCTACCATCTATCCATCTACCCAGTGAAATTCAGTGTAAACTCACTGTCAAAGAGCATCCTGAGCAGCTGCTATAAGCATTGGCTTCAGGGATGAGACCCAGCTGACTGCGCCCACCTGATGTGTATTAATTCAGTAACAGACTCCAAAACTCCAGAAGTCGACCAAATGAAACCAAACTCCAAACAGATATTCTTAAGCCCTGAGGAGGAAGCAGATCAACACAGTGTCAGTTACACATCTATATTACTGCCCAATGGTTGGTCTCTGACATAGATGCTTCTCAGTCTCTCACATGCAAGAGCTGTGGCTTTAAGTGAGTTCCACTGTGCTGATTTTGGCGTTTCCTTCTCTTTGGATTCTGCTGCAGTTTTATGTTCACCAAGGACCGAAGTTGGGAAAACATAGGCACTCCCTTACATATGAAGCCTTATTAAGTTGGGATCATGCTCTCTGTTGGCAGGCAGAGGAATAGAGAGACAGAGGAGAATGAAACTGGGAAGAGAAAAAAAAAAAAAAAAAAAAAAAAACACAAATAACTTTCCCTCTTCAGAGCAGGCACGCCTTCCTACTCCAGCTCCCGCCGCTGATCATTCATCCCGCTCCTCTCAGCTCCCAGACAGCAAAGAGTCAACATCTCCTTCCTACAAAAACATGAGCTCCTGCTCCTGAGCCATACGCTAGAAAACACCCTGACAGGGACTCAGGAGGATCCTATTTCTCACGATGCGGTTGCGTTTCCACAGTAGAACTGAAATATCTTTGATTACAACAGAAGCAAGGTCAGTGGTGCTTTGAAGCATTCTACTTTGCATGGCACGCGTGTTATCTAACTTGATTACAGCCCGGACCTTAACTCCTTCGTCGACAACTGGAGATATATTCAAAGACTGTAGGAGAAAGCACACAAAGTCGAGTGATTAATGCCATGTGCCCATGCGTGCATCTGTAAGAGAGATGTACTGTGCCAATAGGTGTGCACTTCCAAGGAGTGTCTGTCCAAGAACAGTGTGGCCCAGGGACAGACCCAAGCACGCACAACCCAGAGCCGCGCAGCGGGAGCCACACGAATGAGGCACGGCCCGGCTCCCAAAACACTGCTGAGGATTTGCGTAACACGGATCAATGGGTCAGACTTCCAGTTTGCCAACTGTTTTCCCTGAGAAATGCCAGAACAGATATGAGTGAAGTCAAACAGGGCAGCAATAACATCACTGCCAACCAGCGTGAAAATTGGCAGAGCCTGGCACTGAGGACTGCCTATGATCAGAGACAGGGCACGGCCCAGCGCAATGACGAACCCACTTAACAGCGCTGTAAAATTAGCCATTTATGAAAACAAATTGAATACTGCAGCAGAGGGTGACGTAAGGAGAGTTGGCTCCAGACAGAAACAGAAACTCCTGTAGCAGGATTAGCAGAGGAGCTCCTTCATATCAGGGCTCAGGCATGGAAGCTGATAACAACTCGAGTCCTACATGAAAGTTTTAACAGACAGGCTTCCCTTATAGGCTCACGTGTGGGTGTGTGGCTCCTATATGACTTCTGGCGACTACTCCTGTGCCGGCACAGAGGGATCGCAGAAGAGCTGTCAGCACAGGAAGAGGATAGGAGCAGAAAGCAGATGAAGATACAGGCAGGACTCTGTAAATGAGGCGCTCTCCAGCCAGCCCTGCCCTCCCCTTCAGATCTGTGCAAACACAATTTCCCACTTTGCAGCTGCAACAGAAGTTGGGGAGAAACTCACTGTCTGCAAACTAGAGTCATTCCCTGCCCACCCAGCACCCAGAAGAGCTCTGGCTTTCAGCAAGGTACTACAGATGTAACATCGGCAGCAGAACAGGGCTCCGGAGTCTGTCACATCCCAAAACAGTGAAAATGAGAAAGCCAAACGTTTTGGCAGCCAGAACCCTTGATTTCCTCACGGAGGGAAGCGTAATCTCTCCCTAAGCTTGCTGCAGGTCTGGGAGGCTGTGGTGTGCAGAGGATACTCCGAGTGAGTTCCTCTTGGACTTCTTCCAGGTGTTTACACACAGAGCCAAACCTGGCTCCTCTTCAAGAGTGTGTGATGGGGGGAAGGGGGAGTTTAAAAATAAAATAAAAATCACAAAGTCCTCCCGAGCAGAGCTGCAAGCTCCACAGTGCTAAACTGGGGCATTTCTTTTCATTTTTCGCCGCGGAATGTTATTTCCGTGCATAAAATGGGTCAAGTGTTTTATACAGGCAACAACCCAACCTCCCCCAGCCAATCAAAGTATTTTACTACAAATGATCTTGGTGTGTGTTTGTCTAGGTCCCCCATTGTATGAATTGCAGATACTCACACCAAAGGCAGACATGGGGTCTTAGATCCCGGATTACATACAAACAAAAACACAGACTGTATTCTGCCACTGATGAGATCTGTGCAAACCCAAATTCTGCCTCTGCTAAGCTGAAAGGGAAGCGCTTTGAGCCCGGGGTTTAAGTTAAGATTGGGAAACAGAAGAGCGGAGCACGAGAATGCCTTCTCCTATGAAATTACTCGTCTGACTGCCCTACTGAAAGCCATCCCAGTCCCGGCACCTCCTGCCCACCCCAGCAGCCACACACGCTGCATCCCTCTCCCCACCGCGAGCAGAGCAGCTGGGACCGGGGAAAGTTAAGGAAACGCACTGCTGAGTTCATCGTAGTTTTTGTTTTGCTTCGGACAAAGCAACTTCACCAACAGGCGACAGCGGTGCGGGTCAGGGACGGGGCAGCGGGGACGGAGCAGATGGCAGCGGACAGCAGGGACGGGCGAGCGGGGCGGGCGGCGGTGCCACCAGCAAAAGCATCCGCCTGCTCTAGGAAGTGCCTCCAGTTAAAGGGAAAGGGGAAATCCTCCCTGTCTCTTTAAGGCATCCTAGGACATGGAAACTTTGTGCTTTCAGGGAATCTCCTTGCCAAAAGAGCTGTAAAACATGTCTTTCACCCCCCCCTCCTTCCCCCCCCCTCCCCGCCCGGCCCGTTTCTCTTTCTGACTTGCTTCCTTTTTTTAAGGGCATTTCCATTTTCTATGACTTCCTTTGGAGCAAAGATGGATGTGGCGACATTTATAAGGGTTTGTAACCCTCCAAAAAGTATCCGATTTCACGACAACTTTGCTGCACTTTATCACTAAAGCGGGGAGAGGGAGGGAGATGGCTGGAGGGGGGGGGAGCGGGAGCGAGCGCGGGGGGAAAGGACCCAAATCCACGATGGGCTCGTAAAATTTCAGCAAGAAAAGTGCAATATTCCTCATTATTGTTCAGCTCAGACAGCTCAGCCTGGTAGCTGCTTTCAGTACTAAATGGTTTTATAGGGCTATTTGACCTTACAATCATTTGTGTTACACTTGCCGTTTCTAAGGGGAGACGAAAATACTTGACATCCTCTAGCTGCAGCGCGAGTCCCAGCCCCAGCTGAGTGCCGAGGGGTTGGGAACTTTATAAACTCATTTGATTCATTTGAGGTTTCACAATAGCCAAAAGTTCCTTTATAGCTTTTTGGAAACCACATGCTAACATAGCATCTAAAAAGGTAACAGTGAAAGTACGCTAAAGAGCTCATAAAACTAAGGAAATCGTACAGGGACCTTACACATGCATTTCTCTGCAGCCACACGCTAGACATACGTTTCTTTCCATACATACATATAAGCTACTTTTAAATGCTCTACTTACAGTTTTCTGACCTGCAAATGAGTTAAAAACCCACCGTAAGGGCTCTCCCTCCTGTCTGCATCTCAATCCATACACACAGAAATACAGAAACTAGCCCGGATACTGCCATTTCCCTGTGTAAAAGTTTACATAACTTTTCCTGCCAGCATATACTTTCAGAGAGTTTGCCGAGCTCCAGTATTCCACAGAATATATGGATAATAAACACACCCGTGCATGTTTACACATGCACTCACATACGTCCGTACGTTGCAAGGCACACAGGCACATTTAAATGCACACACACGTATCCTATACACACGCACGCCTACAGCTGGCTGTTCTGCCGGCTCCCGAAACGTAAAAGGGATGCTGCAGCCCCGGGCACGGCGAGCGACCTACCTGCAATGACAGCCGGAGATCTCTGTCCTCCTTCAGCTTTCAGCCACACTTGCAAAGTGAAGGCATCTCGGGGCAGCTCAATGTCTGCCTTCAGCCGCAGCTGATCACCTTGTCCACTGAAATAGAGCGCCCTGCTCGGGGTAAGGGACTCCTCGCCGTCCTCTACCTCCCGCTGTTGCCTCCTGCGGGGGACATGCCCAGGCTCCAGCCCAGCAGTGGAGCGCCTTCCTCGGGCTAACCTGGTGGCACAGGTGCCCGGGGCAGTGTAGAGGAGCTGGCGGCTGTGCCTGGTGTCCCTTCTCGCCCTGCGGGAGCGCTCGTCCATCCCACATTCGGGTCCACTGGCTAGGGCTGTACAGAGAAGCGCAAGAGGCAGCAGCAAACTCCAGAGCTGCATTTCCAATCTTCCCCCCCCTTCTCCCCTGCAAATCCTCCCGATCTGCCAGCTTTGGGCTCCTCCTTGCCTTGACTTTCTTCTCTTGTTCACCCTTCTTGGTATTTGCTCTTTTTATAACCCTTCTCAGTTGCTTTTTCTTTTCTTTTTTTCTTTTTCTTTCTTTCTTTTTCCTGCTTATAGATTTTTTTTCCCCTTAAAACAAATAAAAATAAAATAAATCAAAACTCCTTCTTGGTTGAAATGTATTTCTCTGTTCTTCCTCCTCTATCTGTCTTCTTCTCCTCTATTCCTCCACAGCTGGAATTCCTCTCTCTTCTTTTCTCTGCTGGATTTTCTTCCCTTTATTTTTTTCTTCTTAAAAAAAACACACACACACACTCACACACACACAGAACAAAACAAAACAAAAAAACCCAAAGCAACCCCCCAAGCTTTCTCCAAGACTCAGACCCACTGATTTCCCTCCCCCCAAAAGATGCTCTAATCTATTTATTTTTTTGGCCTCCTTTATAACATAAGCCACAACCCCCTCCTTCCCCCCAACCTCCCCCCCTCCCTTCTTCTCCACAAAATGAAAGAAAAGAGAAAAAGCCCCTCAGAAGATGAGTAAACAAGAATATGCTAATCTACTCTAGGGTGCTCCACCTTCCCAATTGAATGATTCCCATTAAAACTGCAGGGATCATGACTAATCAATCAGCTTGAAGAAGCAGATAGCTCCAGAGGTTCAAACAATTTTGCTGTTTTCTTTCTTTCCCCCTTCTCTTCTCCTCTTCCTCTTTCCCCCTATCACTTTCTCCTCTCCTATTTATTTTTTATTTTTTCAAGGAGACAATCAAGAGGAATGGATCAATGTGACAAAAATGCTGCACCCCCCTTTTTGCAGTCTCCCCAGCTTTCTTTCTCAGTCCAGTCCAAAACACACATTCCTATTTTTTTTTCTTGGCAAAAGAGAAAGCTATTTCTCCTCTCAGACTCCCCGTTGCACTTTGCTGGTAAACCTTATGCTCCTCTGCAGCACATAAAGAGTCTTGAAACTTGAGTCTCAGATATTTTTTTAATTGCTTTCTTTCTTTCTCTCTTTTTCACTCTCTCTCTCTCTTTCTCTAATTCTTTCTTTTCCTCTTATTATTTTCTTAAAGTTATGCAATCAGCCAGGCTCCCCCTTTTGTGGTCCCCCTCAGAGCGGTTGTGTGCAGCTAATCCAAATGTTGCATCAAAAGGTCCCCATCGAGTCATGAGCAGCTAAAAGGAGAGAAGCTTGGTGGAGAGCAATTGCCTTCCAGAAGCTGCAGCAACAGAGCAGGATTTGGCTTTTGAATGCTCCCAAAGACTCCTGTTGTTGTTGGTTGGTTGGCTTTTTTTTTTTTTAAAGTAATTAAAAAAAAATTATAATTTTGTTGGTGGACTGAATAAAAAAAAATCCTCTCTCAATATTGCTAGCTATTCAGTCTAAGGAATTCAGCTCCCCTGGCTTCCCTGGCTTAGTTGTAGCCACAGGTAAGCTTCTGGCTGCTTGCTGGTTTGAAGATCTCTTTCTGAGCTGGGACGTTTCTTTTTTTTTCCTCCTTTCCTTTTTTTTTTTTTTTTTTTTTTTAAATAATATTTTTTTCACTCTTGAAAGATCTCAAAAGCTCCCCCTGATGGCAACAAAAAGTATTTTTCTAAGTACTTCATAAGTGGAAATAGTAGCACGCTGAACCTACTGGCCACTACTCCGTTCAGATGAAGCCCACTAGAATGGAGCTGAGTTACAGCAAATTCAGCCTCAAACCCAGGAGTTCTGATCATCCTCTTCTCTCATGTCAAACTTCATTGCTGTCACTCCTTGTTTTCCTACAGACAATCTCTCAAGAGTTTTCCTGGGACTGTAACATCACTGCTTTTGCAGACTGCCCTATTGGTACAAGTTGTTATGGCCACTTGCACTTGAAATATACCCGATAAACTTAATGAAAGTAAATACTGTCATGTGGAAGAATTGTTGCATATTTTCAAGGCTTCCAGCAGATGGTTTTCCAGCTCCTCGCCAGTGTGCAAACACTCAGGAATGTATAGCTGCCATCTGATTTTCAGCGATGTTGCACATAGCCACAAGGATCCACAGAACTCAACAAGAATCAGAGCTGCTCAGCCCCTCCAATCGCATGACTTCCCTCTGTGCAGCTCTAATGGCAATAAAGATAAAAATACCAGCAACATCTATGAGGTTTTGAATACAAGACCTCAAAGAAATCAAGCCTCTCGCCAATCAAGAGGAAATTGTTAGGTAGCAAACAAACTACAGCACGGTCTAAACCCCCACAAACACCCCGAGGAACTCAGAGGGATGCAAAAAAGCCACTTACAGACACACACACATGTCCACTCAGCAGAACCCGTGTGCTCCACTTTACTATTGTAATTCAGCACATAAGGGATGCTGAAAATCAAAAAGTTAACGTGAACGGGTTCAACTTCAAATAAGAGCTAAACCAGAAAGAGTTGTGATGCCCGGGACACTCCTTTCCTCATTGGAAAACCCAGTGTCCGGGGAAACTCTGCCCTGGCTGGTAGGACAGGCCCTGCATCTTCAACAGCTTCCAGTTTTTCCTGTGGAGAAAGTTAATCCTGCAAAATCAGAATGTTTCTTTGGGGCATTGCGATTTGGCTGAAATCATCAAAGACAACTGTTGGAATATTTCAGTTTGATGGCATTGCATCATTTCATTTTGTACATACTTGACCTTCTGCTCTTAAAACAGCAACGGCAAGAGCAAGACCTTCACTGAGACCATGCTCTCTTTTCCAATGCAACGGATGACAATTCCTGTAACAATTTCAGGAGCGTTTCTGCTACAAGCAAAATGCTCAAATCTCAACTTCCTGTATGGTGGACAGAAGGAAGTATGAAGAGATGGAATTTACTTCTAAAGGACAAATTACAAGTTCAATCAGTTTTACTTCCAAGACATTGCAAAAGCGTAGAGAAAAAGTGGTGCATAAACTCCCGAGTCCTGAACGACAAAGAACAGAGAGTAGAAGAGTGATGTGATTTTAAGAATAGGGAGTAAATCTGGGATTCCTTAAGTCCATGGGTCAGATCTAACTTCCCTGACAACAGATGAAATTCTACCCTGCACAGATGGACATTTATTTTCTGCTTAAGCCAGTACTTAAGTGATGTACGGGCCTTCTGGCAGGGGGGTTTCTACCCAAGGAGAATAATCCTCCTGTTGAACTCGAGTGGAGTATTCTCTTAAGTAAAGGGAGCAGGATATTGTCCTGCATGTACAGAGATTTTCACAAGAAAACGGGGAAAAAAAAGCACCAAACCCTAGATACATATATAGAGACAAGAATTAAAATAGATATTTATGATATTATGCCAAAAAAATAGCACTGAGCTACATGCTGCATGCAGTCATTATAAGTAGAAATACTCAGCAGGAATCTTAGCTGAAGCTGCCAATAACTCCCAGGTTCAAGACTAGAGCTGAGTGAATAAATCATAACAAATAATGGTTTTGTCAAATTCTGACTTTTTTTCCCCCTCCTATTTGCAAGCTGACTGCAGAACCTCGCAAATATGTTTGAAATTACATGCCCATTTCTCCCTCATATTTAGAATTTCTTTAAGGCCAATTAGCACACAATTTGCCGCAATGTACACATTTTCACATTTGTTCTGCGGCAATTAGGCGAGGAAGTCACACAGCATTATTCTTGGCTCCCTGGGGGTCAGGTTTAATCACTCATGGTATAGTAAAATTACTAATTACACATATGACGGGAGACTCCACAGTTTGAAATCTTCTTCGGCAAGAACGGCGTTGAATCTTCGAATTACTCATGTGAAGGTCAATTAAAAGCAATGTTTCTTGAAAGGCAAGCTGAAAAGTCTGCCAGATGCGGCTGAATTGAGGCCCTACTATTCTGAGCAAGTATTTGTACATCGTCGTCCTCGCTGCGCACAACTCCATCAATCACAGCGGAGGTTTATATGGTTTTTACCCCTCACCGACATCCCAATCAAGTCTCTCTGAACTTGGCCTGGGTCGGAGATGGCTGACGCGCAATCCAACAGCGACGCTGCTCAGAATCAGACAGGGCCCAGACACCAGATTTTAATGCAACGTGTTGGATTCAGGGAATATTTTATGCAATCAACAGTGGTATGATAGGAATCACGCTGCCTCCACAGAATAGCGAGAAATGAAACCCAAAGAGCCGAGAGCAGCGTCAAAAGCGATGGGGATCTGGGCATTCCGGGCTGCCAACCCCACACGGCCCAACACCTCCATGCACACAGAGCCATGGACTCGGCTGCCGAGCGGTGAGACAGGCGTGACGTGGAACCTGGCCTCTGCCCCTCGCGACGAAAACAAACGCTAATAACTGAAGAAACAACAAAAAACAAATGTCACATATGCTGAATCCTGGAAAAGATTTAACAGAAGACTTCATTTGGACTCGGAAAATTTGCCAATTTTTTTTTTTTTTTTTTTTTATTTTTTTTATATATGTCCTTTATAATTGTGTCTTGAAAAGGACGGAGAATTAAATGTCGCACTCCATGCTCACAAAAACCCTGAGTTTCTGAGTGCTTTACTATTGCCTGTGTTTTCACAATGCCATCTAACACAGGAACCAAAACACCAGCTTTACGTTACCTTTGTTAGTGGGCAGGAGACTCAACTGCTGTTCCCCAGTTGCCCCACGTGTGAAACACACATGCTGTTACTTCACGTCAATGAAACAGCCTCACGTCAATTTGAAATATGCCATTTAATCCAGAAAAGTTGCCTGGACAATAAAGAAAGAACTGCAATAAATGACAATCAAGACTAAACACATAATTGATGGCTTTACAAAGGTATCAGTAATTTTATAAAGTAATTTGCAGTCAGTGGCTATAAATTCCTACTTAAACCTGGCATGCCACTCTTTTTTGCCCTGCAGAGAGCTGTATTACCTAACAATACTGATGCCTGTTCGCCTGGAATTCGGTTACTTTATCC